TTTATCATTTTTAGGAACAACCAGACTGTTTTCCAAACATCACATACATCAATGTATGAGGGATCCAGTTTTTCTACATCCTTGTCAGCACTTTGTATTACATGTCTGCTTGATTATAGCCATCTAGTGGGCATGTGAAGTGGTATCTCATTGTGTGTGTGTGTGTGTGTGTGTGTGTGTGTGTGTGTGTGTGTGTTTCCCTCATGACTAATAATGCTGATCATCTTTTCATTAGCTTCTTGACCATTTGTATATCTTCTTTGAGAGACGTCTATTCAAAGCCTTTGCCCTTTTTTTTTTTGTTTGTTTTTTGTTTTTGCAGTACGCGGGCCTCTCACTGTTGTGGCCTCTCCCGCTGCGGAGCAACAGGCTCCGGATGCGCAGGCTCAGCGGCCATGGCTCACGGGCACAGCCGCTCCGCCGCCATGTGGGATCTTCCGGGCACGAAGATCCGGACCGGGGCACGAACCCGTGTCCCCTGCATCGCAGGCGGACTCTCAACCACTGCGCCACCAGGGGAGCCCTCCTTTGCCCATTTTTGACTGGGTGTTTTTTTTTAAATTACTGAGTTGTAGACTTCTTTGGATATTCTGCATACAAGTCCCTTATCAGATATGTGATTTACAAATATTTTCTCCCATTCTATACCTTTTCGCTTTCTTGATGGTATCTTTTGCAACATAAAAGTTTAAATTTTTATGTAGTCCAATTTATCTATTTTTTTCTTTTGTTATTTGTACTTTCGATGTTTTATCTAAGAAGGCTTTGCCTAAAACAAGGTCACAAAGATTTACTCTTATGTTTTCTTCTAAGAGCTTTATAGTTTAGCTCTTATATTTGGATCTGTGATCCATTTTGAGTTCATTGTCCATATGGTGTGAAATAGGAGTCCAACTTCATTCTTTTGCATTGTCTTTTAAAATTTTTGTGAATATGTATTATACCTCCACAGCTGTAATATGCCTGAGGGCAAGGACCAAGTTCTACTTCTTTGTATTTTCCATAAAACCAATGAGTAAACTTTTTTTTTTTCAGAATAAGGTTTTGAGAGTGATATGGATATTTTTCTTTCAATTTTATTTTATTTTATTATTATTATTTTTTCAGCCGCACTGCACTGCTTGCAAGATCTTAGTTCACTGACCAGGGATCAAACCTGGGCCCCTGGCAGTGGAAGCTCAGAGTCCTAACCATTGGACTATCAGGGAATTCCCTTTTCTTTCAATTTTAAAGGTAATTATATAGATGCAGTACAAACTCCAAACAACGCAAAAGGATATATAGTGAAAAAAATATGTCTCCTTTCCAGACCTAACCTCCTAGTCTCCCAGCCCTCTTCTTCAGAATCAACCAGCATAACCACTATTACCAGTTTCTTGTGTTTCCTTCCAGTGATTTTCTACAGCTACACTAGCACATACTTAGAATAGGATCCAAAGTCTTTACCATGGCCCACAAGCTCCCCCATGATCTGGCCTCTAGGGCCAGGTTGTCAACCTCATCTCTTACCATACTCTTCCTTATTCTTTTGGCTCTAGGCCGTGATAACCTCCTTTCTCTTCCTTGGAAACACCAAGCATTCTCTCATGTTGGGACCTTTGCACTTGTGTTCTCTCTGCCCAGCATGCTCTTTTCCAAGATATTTACATGGGTCACTCTCTCATTTCATTCACATTTCTTTTTTTTCTTTGGCTGCGCCACACGGCTTGCAGGATCTTAGTTCCCCAACCAGGGATTGAACCCAGACCCCCGGCAGTGAAAGCACCGAGTCCTAACCACTGGACTGCCAGGGAATGCCCTTGAAACTTTTTCTTGACAATATCATCACCATCTTTGCACTGATGACATCTATTCCATGGCCTGGAAAAACAATCCTTTATTGACTCCAACTATCAGCTCTCTCCTCTGCTAATCCCAAGTTAGCTAATGATTTTGAAGAAAAATCACACAGAAATAGATGGATGCCATTAAAATTTTTGCTCTTAAGTGTATAAGAATATTCATGGAAACATTGGTCATAAGAACAACAACAAAAAGAAACAAACTCTATGCCATATATATCATATGATAGAACAGCTGTTAAAAGGAAATGAACTGGATCTATGTAGAGCAACATATATAGAATTTTAAAAAGAAACTAGTAAAAAGAAGGAAGCAGCAAAATAAAACAAAACTATGCTGTCAATTAAGTTAAAAAAAAAAGGAAAAAAATGAAAACCCACACCAACCAGAAAGACATATTTTCTAAGGGAACATGTATATGTATATGAAAGCATTAAAAAAGATCTGAAAGGAAATTCAATTTTAGAGAGGGTGGAAGGTTGGGATTCAAGGTGATCGTAAAAAGGGACTTTAGCTTTATCTGTAACATGCTAATTTTTAGAAAATACAGTGTAATCATAAATCACTTTTTAATTTAAAATTAATTAATAAATTAAAATTTATAAAGTGGAGAGTTACCAGCTTCAACTAGATTCTCCATATTTCACTGGCCCCTTTTTCTTTCATTCTCTGTTAAACTTTAAACTTTCTCCTTCTTCTAAACTATAATCTCATACCATCTGCCTTCCTCTGAGTAGAAAAACTTTCCTGCCAAGTTAACAGAGAAAATAGAAGCCATCAGAAAGGAAATTAAATATCAGTCTTTTCTCTTGTCCCCAACATCTTAGTTCATCATCTCTTGTGTGAATTATTTACTTGGTCTTAAATTTGCACAGTTTTTGTATCACATTTGCTTCTTGAATCTGATTAACAAGAATATTGCTCTTATCCCCCCTTTTTTTTATAGATAGGTAGTTTTTTTTAAAATAAATTTATTTATTTTTGGCTGCATTGGGTCTTCATTGCTGCCCGCGGGCTTTCTCCTGTTGCAGCGAGCGGGGGCTACTCTTCATTGTGGTGCGCGGGCTTCTTGTTGCGGTGGCTTGTCTTGTTGCGGAGCACGGGCTCTAGGCGCACGGGCTTCAGTAGTTGCGGCACGGAGGCTCAGTAGTTGTGGCTTGCGGGCTCTAGAGCACAGGCTCAGTAGCTGTAGGAAGGGAAGTGCCCCCCCCCTTTAAAATAAATAAATTAATTTATTTATATTTGGCTGCATTGGGTCTTTGTTGCTGTGCACGGGCTTTCTCTAGTTGGCGGCGAGCGGGGACTGCTCTTCGTTGTGGTGCGCGGGTTTCTCATTGCAGTGGCTTCTCTTGTTGCAGAGCATGGTCTCTAGGCGCGCAGGCTTCAGTAGTTGTGGCTCACAGGCTCTAGAGCGCAGGCTCAGTAGTTGTGGCGCATGGGCTTAGTTGCTCCGCGGCATGTGGGATCTTCCCGGACCAGGGATCGAACCCGTATCCCCTGCATTGGCAGGCGGATTCTTAACCACTGCGCCACCAGGGAAGCCGGGAAACCCCCCTTTTTAATATGTGATGCAACTTGTCCTAACTTATGTGTGGGAGCGCTACACCACTGTTTCCAATACCAAACACATAAGCTGTCCACTTGAGTGCAAAGCATCTAAAGGGTAGTTTCTAAAGCGTAGTTTCCTTCCCATGTTATTATTACTATTTTTTTTTAATTTGGTTGCGCTGGGTCTTAGTTGATGCAGGCGGGCTCCTTAGTTGTGGCATGTGAACTCTTAGTTGCGGCATGCATGTGGGATCTAGTTCCCTGACCAGGGATCGAACCTGGGCCCCCTGCATTGGGAGGGCAGGGTCCTATCCACTGTGCCACCAGGGAAGTCCCCGCATGTTATTCTCTAATTTAGCTCTTTGTTGTTCCCTTCATAGCACTTACCACAATTGTTAACTATTTTTATTTTTTTCATCGGCTTACTAGACTTTTGTGACACAGCACCTCCAGCCTCTACCTCCCCACCCCCAGGTCTATGAGCTCCAGGAAGCCAGTATCCACACCTGTCTTGTGTCCAGCACATAGTGACCATTCAGTGGGTCTATGTTGACTGAATGAAAGAGAAGGGAGTCCTTCAGCACCCTGCCCTTCTGCTCCCAGTCACCCCAGGAGCACTGACACCTTCTCTCCTCTACTGTTCTTGGGATACAATGAATGCAAGAGGTGTTCTAGCCAAGGCCATTCTCTCCCAACCTCCTGCGGAAACTCTTTGCGTCCTTGATTCTTTCTTCTGTATCTTCATCTTTATAATAATTTCCTATCAATACTCAAAGATGCTCCCAATCACAACCAACCAACCAGAAGCCCCTAAAGTTCCTCCTTCGGGTCTCAGGTCAGCAGGTGACCACCCTCTTCCCCTGAATTTCAGGACTCAGCCATGCCCTTTGTTCTTCCTCCTACTCTTTCTCAGGCTCGTTTTAGAGATTTTTTTTTTTTCTTTCAGTAATTGGCTGGGTTGGGTCTTCATTGCTGCGCGCGGGCTTTCTCTAGTTGCGGCGAGCAGGGTCTGCTCTTCATTGCGGTGCATGGGCTTTGCATTGCAGTGGATTCTCTTGTTGCGGAGCACGGGCTCTAGGAGCATGGGCTCAGTAGTTACGGCGTGCAGGCTCAGTAGTTGTGGCGCACGGGCTTAGTTGCTCCGTGGCATGTGGGATCTTCCAGGACCAGAACTCGAACTTGCGTCCCCTGCATTCGCAGGCGGGTTCTTAACCACTGCACCACCAGGGAAGTCCCTTAGGGAGTTCTGAAGTGCTAGGATTCTCCCAGGATTCTGTTCTTTTCAACCATCGGTGAAAAGGGGGGAATCCTTGTGGGGACAGAGTCTGGGAAAGAGGGACTCCGACAAGGTGGTGCTGAAGACTGAGGCTGGGTGAGGTGGGTTAATGAAAGAGCTATGAAAAGCCCGAGGCAGAGGTCAAAGAGGACAGGTGTTGTGATGACTTGAGCCTCTGTGACGTGTCTGGCGGAGACTAGGGAGAGCGGGAGGCGCGCGCGCGTCCCGACCGTCCGGCCGCGCCCCAGGCCCTGCCTCCTCGCGCACAGCAGTGAAAGCGCGCGCTCGTGTGCGCAGCGACCTCTGTGCGCCTGCGCCGCCGTTGCCGGGCATCCGCCGGCGAAAAGACGACCTAGGGGAGGGGTGGTGGCAGCGGGGACTCCGGAAGCCCACCTTTCACCCGGAAATGGTTGTCGAGAAACATGGCGTTGCTGGTGCGAGTCCTTGTGAGTGAAGGAGTAATTTTGTGGTGTCGCCCACCGGGCCACCGGGTTGGAGTCGGAGAGGGAGGGGCGGGAGCAACTGGACGGAAGTGCAGGAGCGGAGCCTGTGCGGTAGCGAGGCTGCGCGGCCGCATCTCTTCGGGGAAACTGAGGCAGTTTCCCACCTCCCCCGACCCTCGGTTTGGCCGTGGCTTCCCCCTCTTTGGAGAAGGCGTGAGACTGACGTCAGATATAAATTTGACGAAGCTTGCTTTTCCTTGGTCACCACCTGTGACTCCTTCCCCTCAGGGAGAGAGGCAGCGCGTGGGGCACTGATTGTAGTTTCGGGAGACCCGGGTTCTAGTTCCTGTTCTGTCACTAACGCTCAGGGTGACCTTGGGCAAGTCACTTTTGGGCTTCAGAGTTCCCATGGGCAAAGCGAGGACGTAAATCTGCAAGTCTTTGGGATTCTGAGGTTCTTTGGGTTTGTTTCAGAGATCAGTAGATCAATTATTAACTCTGTAGTTAAGTGGAATACTCTTATATGCTATTAGAGTGAAAGCTGCACGAGAACTGGGGTCATATCTGTCGTTTTCACTCTGCCTAGCACAGTGTCTGGCACATCATAGGTGTTCAGTAAAGATTTGTTGAAGGAATGAAATAAGTGATGAAGAACTACTCGACTAATTAACACCCATATGGGAAGCTGCTGCACCTCTTGTGATTCAGTCCTGAACTTCTAGCCGACTCTGACTTATAGAAATTAAAGAGAACAAGAGTTAGGAGGATACAGAGCTTGGGTCCTAATCATGGACGGATAGTAGAATTTATAATTTTATCAAGTCTTTAAAAAACTGGGTCAAGGAGATTGTTTTTCATAGCAGACACTGTGTATTCCTGCCTCTAGCTTTCTTTTGAGTTCTGATATTAGAAATATTTGTGTCTAATCTTTTTATATGTGGCATACACGGCCTGTGATTTTACTTCTTGTATTCCTTGTCAGCCTAGCAAAGTGCAGTGCCCTCTGTTGTTGCGTAGTAAAAGTTTTTTTGAAGAATAGCTCCTGTAATCTACAGAAAGTAACTTGGTGAAGTAATTGTTGATGCCAGGGCAGGAACTGATTCAGATCTGAGGACTGCTGAGGAAATGGCAACTAGGATGTCCTAAGTGGTTTTTTTTGGCCATGGTGCTCGGCTTGTGAGATCTTAGTTCCCTGACCAGGAATCGAACCCAGGCCCCTGGCAGTGGAAGCGCAGAATCCTAACCACTGGACCACCAGGGAATTCCCTCCTAAGTGTTTTGTTTTTTAAAAAAATATTTATTTATTATTATTATTATTATTATTTTGGCTGTGTTGGGGTCTTAGTTGCGGTGCGCAGGCTTCTCTCTAGTTGTGGCTCACATACTCAGTAGCTGCAGCGCATGGGCTTAGTTGCCCTGCTGTGTGTGGGATCTTAGTTCCTTGACCAGGAATTGAACCTGTGTCCCCTGCATTGGAAGGTGAATTCTTAACCACTGGACCACCAGGGAAGTCCCCCTCCTTGATGTATTTTTTTTTAATTAATTAATTTATTTTTGGCTGCGTTGGGTCTTTGTTGCTGCGTGCGGGCTTTCTCTAGTTGTGAACAGGGGCTACTCTTCGTTATGATACACAGGCTTGTCACTACAGTGGCTTCTCTTGTTGCTGAGCACAGGGTCTAGGCGCTCGCGCTTCAGTAGTTGTGGCATGTGGGCTCAGTAGTTGTGGTTCATGGGCTCTAGAGCACAGGCTCTGTAGTTGTGGTGCACAGGCTTAGTTGCTCTGCGGCCTGTGGGATCTTCCCAGACCAGGGATCGAACCCATGGCAGATTCTTAACCACTGTGCTACCAGGGAAGTCCCATCCTAGGTGTTTTTAAGATAGATACTTTGCGGGGGAAAGATGAGAATTTTATTGGGCTGTAGATCTGAAATGAATACCTTGACTTGTCTTGGAAGTTAGTGACTTCCTCAGCTGAGCATGCTGCTGAGCATGTGGATGGTTACAGGATCTTTTCTTCTTGGTTGGTAGCATCCAGTGAAACCACCTTTCTAACTGCCTTCTATTAGTTGAATCTTTTTCTACCCCCCATTTATCCCTTTCTATTCATCTTTTTAGGTGGAAAGCAAGATTAGGTAAGGAAAGTCACTTTCACTTTATACGGTATACTGTAATTCTTTGAAGTCTTCTTATCATATGTTGTAATGTGTGACAAAGCAACAGAAACTCCCTTAGGACTAGAGAGTTACAGTAAACATGAAAGTAGCAGATATTTATTGATCACCTATGCTGAAGAGGCATTAGGGTTATGCTGAAGAGGCATTAGGGTTAGGCACTGTGAGGAATTCACAAATACAGGAAAATGCACCTGTCTAGGTGTCGGAAGAGCCTTGTTTGAAAGCTTGGCCCCATTACTTACTATGGGTATAGCCTTGAGCAAATCACCTAACTTCTCTGAGCCTCAGATTTTCTTGAGGGTAAGTTTGATAGGGTTGATCAGAGAATCAGTTGATACAAATGACATTTTAAATGCTTGTTTTCCCTTCCTTTTAATTCAGCGACTATTTTGAGTGTTCACTGCATTCTAGCAACTCTCCAAGGGACTGAGGATGAAAAACATAGAACTTATTCTCATGTTTATAATCTAATAGCAGAGACAGAAAAGAAAACTACTGATAACAATTCTTGAAATGCTGTGATAGAAGTCTTAACTAGGTGCTGTGGTAGCAGAGTAGAAAGGCACCTAACCCAGCCTGAGGACAAGCATTTAGATGCTTAAACTAAATGAGGGAGCATTAGATGGGGAATAGGGGAAAGGAAATAGAGGAGAAGCATTAGCTTATGCTACTATGCTAGACAACAAAGGCGCTCTAAGTAAATCGCTCAGGCTGGACTCGGGGGCACTTGTGGGGAAATGGCAGTAGAGGAGACATTGCCTTGCATGTCATAGTTAGGGGTTGGAGATTTATCTTGAGGCAGAGGGCAGCCACTGAAGTATTTTAAACGAAGGGAAGATTTATTTTTAAAGGTTTTTTTGATGCATTTACTCTTGTTTTTTTTCTTATTTAAATTTTTTAAATTGAGGAATAATTGACGTACAGTAAATCACACTTATTTAATTGTATAATTTGATAAGTTTTGACACAGGTATACACCCGAAAAGTCATAATCATAATAAAAATAACGAACATATCCGTCACTCCCCAAAATTTCTTTGCGCCCTTTTGCAATCCTTATATTGCTCTCCCTGCTTCCAGCCACCATTGATCAGGGGAACACTTTGTTCCTTCTCTTATTTTTAAATTGAAATTAAAAATTTTTAATTTGAAAGTAAAAAAAAGTCCAATCCACATAGTAAACAAAAAACATAGATTTTTGTTTTAATAGATCCCTGTAACAAGGGTGGATGTAACAGATGGGTCAGTCAGAGAGGGCTGAGATTAGAGTCCCCAAGGCCAGTCAGAAACTAAAGTAATCCTGGAAGAAGTGATGAAGCCTGTACTAAGTGGGAGATGGACAGTGTGGTTAAAGAAGAAGGGATGGTTGCAAGAGGTATTGAGGAAATTGTCTACAGAGCTTGATGAGAGATTAGATGTTAAGGATGAGGGAGAGGGAAGAGTCTAACAGCTTGTCCCAGGTCAGCCTAGGATGACTGAGTTAATAGCAGTGTTCTTCACTGAGAAAATCTAGCTGGAGTTTTTGGGGGTTTTCTGTTTGTTGGTGTTTTTTTTGTTGTTGTTTGGTTTTTGTTTTTGCAGCTGGATATTTGGTGTTCAGGAGAGGGAGCTGAAATATAAGTTGTAGTTGAAACAAAAATGTTGAGATTTCTCGAGCAATAATATTGATAGGGAACATTTTATAGGGCGTTTACCATGTGGTAAGCACTCAAATACTTTATATGTGTGAACTTGCTAAATCCTTATGACAGCCCTTTGAAAAGGTAGGCACTATTATTCCCCCATTTTGCAGACAAGAAAATTGAACCACCGAGAAGTAGTATTCCTGAAACATTCTCATTAGTCTCCCCTTACTTTTTCCTCTTTCTGTCTTTTTGACCAGTTTTTACCCTTCTCCAAGGATGGGTTTGGGAAGGAGGAGTAAACTGAAACACTGCTATTGCTGAGTAGATCTAGCAGAGGAACTGGACATTTGAGCAGTGCGCTGGGGCTTTTTTATGGTTTTATGAGCTGTTTTGACATTGGTAATAATTTTTACTTTTCTTTGATAGTAGTATAAATTGCAGAAAGCCACACTGGATTTAAAAAAAAATTGTAGTAGAATACGCATAACATAATTTACCATTTCAACCAATTTTAAGTGTACAGTTCAGTGGTATTAAGTACATTCACATTGTTGTGCTGCCATCACCACCATCATCCAAAGAACTCTTTTCATCTTCGAAAATTGAAACTCTGTACCTATTAAAAGATAAATCCCTATGCCCCACTCTACCCAGCCCTGGGCAACCACCATTCTTTCTGTCTTTATGATTTTGACTACTCTAGGTACCTCATATAAGTGGAATCATACAGTGTTTGTTCTTTTGTGTCTGGCTTATTTCACTTAACATAATGTCCTGAAAGTTCATCCATGTTGTAGCATGACAGAATTTCCTTTTTTTAAGGCTGAATAATATTCTGTTGTATGCATATACTACATTTCATTTATCCGTTAATGTGTTGATGGGCACTTTGGTTGCTTCCACCTTTTGGCTATTGCCAAATAGTGCTGCCATGAACATGGGTGTACAAATATTTGTTGTAGTCCCTGTTGTTACTTCTTTTGGGTATGTGCTCAGAAGTAGAATTGTTGCATCATATTGTAATTCTATGTTTAATTTTTTGAGCAATCACCATTCTGTTTTCCATAGCAGCTGCACCATTTTACATTTCTACCAGCCAAGCACAAGGGTTTCAATTTCTCCACATCTTCTCCAACACTTATTTTCTTTCTTTCTTTTTTTTGTTTTTATAGTGGCCATCCGAATGGGTGTGAGAGGATAATCT